ACAGGAGGTTACACTTTACATGTAATGAAAAACATTTTATTAATTACTGAATAAAGTTCGCCGCTCATTTTTTTTTAAAAAAGCACTATTTCCCTTTTTTTTGGAAAATTTGCATAACTATAAATACCGCGCTCTGGCTACACTGACAAACACAGATGTTCCTATTGTTTTGTCACAATCATGTCGCACAAATGCATGAAGATAAGTAGCTGTGCCTGCTTCCTCATTTTTTCCGGTGTTCTATTCGTGTTGTCAACACTAGGGCATTACAGAAGTCCTTTTTTAGGCGATCAAAGGGAAATCAAAGCTATAACTATAACTTTTTCGAACGCGGAGGTTCAGTGCTATTAAAGTGATATGTCTGACTCAGTACACACTGAAATTAGAGACACCTTCACTGGAATCATTTATTCGAGCATCAACCGCAGAGGAAGGCCAAGAACTCCGTTAAAGTGGTCTGGCTGTATTCTCAAAACTCGCCAATGCGTGTCAACCGCTAGCTGATGCGAGTAAGGCAAAAATTCAAGTCAACAAAATCGCGCTCATCAGCCTTGCGAATGAAACCGTGTGTCCATTACAGGGACTGGTGGAACATGTACAGAACTCAGTATATTCTGCGCTATTATTCTTACATGATTTAAACCCAGGCCGTTTTGAAAATGGAACGCAGCTTCAGGACAAACTACTGATACCAGTTTTACATGTACAGCATCCTTTTCGCTGTTATTTCATTGACGGTTCATATGCGAACATTGATGAGTTTGATCTTATAGCTGCAGACCGAACTAAAACTGACATCAGAGTAACGATTATACAAACGGACCTCTACAAGATGCAGCAATACTTACGGAGACTTTACTATTGGCTTCTTTTGGGCCCACTCATCACTCTCGAATGGCTCAGACGGAGAAAGAAGCTTCGTTGCTTGTCTAGTGGTCAACAAGTTGAAGGAGCCCACGTACCAGAGGAAACTACTGTCGAGTCAGAGCTAAACTCAGCAGCTGACCACCAGAAGACTCAGAGAAATATTAACAAAGAAAAGGAACATGAGCAAACTGGAGGCAAAACACAACCGCTACTTATCGAGTTAAACGATCCTTGCAGTAACGGAAACACCGTGAGCCCGGAGCTATTAGACGCGTTTTAACTTACCTTAGAAAGCTGTTCGGCAAACTAGCTGTTGGTAGTGGGTATGTTATTCTCATTATAGTAGCTCTCCCGGCCCTGTAGGTATATCCAGTGGAGGATGGTCTTTTTTTCGATTCGATCAAAACGAAATTCAGCAAAAAACTTTTTGGGATGACATTATCGCACCTTATCATTCTTTTTATTCTTATGTGATAATTTGGTTATCATTATTCTTTGACACCTTTCTTCCTTTGTTGTGGTCACCTCTTCAAATATTTTGTTTTTTTCTCTACAGTAGGTTTGCCTGTAAAGCCACATGGACCGTCCCAACCAACTTTTCAAAACTGATTCGAAGTGATTGGTTTGCATCAAACATGTATTTGCTCATTTTGGGTGTTGCTGTGCCATACTGTTCCTCAGAAGATTCTTTAGCCTTGTTTAGTTATTTTACAAGCTACAAGACGGTCTGCACAATCTGTAACGTGCTTTTCGTTATCATCCTAAACAAACACAAATTTGTCACGAGGTATGTCTTCTTCATCACTATATGCATGATCTGTGCTTATATTGAAAGTAACATAGTAGCCGTGTTTTATTTTATGTTGAATTCTAAAGGCTCGCTCACCGACCTTAATCTTACTGCTCTGCGCACGGTAGCCATTGGTCTCACTTTGACTCTCAGTTTCAGCTACTGTATGCACATCATTCACAAGCTTACTGAGCCACAGGAATCTTTGTTTGAGGGACTGGGAGAAAAGTGAGTGAATATTTCAGTTACCTGTTTTCGTGTAGAATTTTTTCGTATCATTCAATGGTGCACTAAATATAAATCTTAGTGAAGCGGTCGATCACGCATCGCAACCTTTTTGTTCGTGACAACAGACATTGCGTGACCTTCACAAGTAGACTTCAGTTTTCGACAACTTGCCTTGGTAATCTGAATAAGCCTTCAACTATACGAAATCATTAAATAAATTGATCTTCTCTTGCCGACTGCCTGAATTGTTTATACCTGACAGAGGCCTGACACAAAATGTTAACCAGCAAACAAAAATAATATATAAATTGGGATTGTTTTCTTTGCTTTTTAGATGTTATTGTATATAATTTTATCAGATTAGAGTAGATTCTGAAATGGCCTGCGTTCGCAGGCTGGTTCTGAACAACTTGTTTCGTGTTCGTATCTGTAGTGGTTTGATCAAGGTTCTCTCAGATCTAACAGAAAAACAAAAAGCCGTTCAGTTGCGAAGCAAATCAGTTACAACCAAGCCCGGGGAAGGGGGGGGGGGACACTAACACATATGGGCTACATAGGTATGTGCCGCTGTGAAGGTTATGGTTTTCAAGCAGTTTACTCTAGGATAGGGTATATAAATCAGAGCGTTTGGGTCTAGAATAGGGTATCATTTTTCCCAAAACTGACTAGTTGGTTGAAGATTTTCTCTAGACTAAGGAAACCAGGAATTGCCACTCAAAAATATAAAAAAAAATCAAATCGGCAAGTTTAAATTTACGCAAATCAGCCGCAATAGTGTCGATAGATAGGGGGATTTGGGGAGTTTACTCTAGTATAGGGTAGCAAAATTCAGCTGAACTACCTCTGGTATAGGCTAAGGGCTCCAGGGACCCAGCAGCACATCCCCACCCAGAAATTCCCAGAGTACCCCCCCCCCCCCCGCAGCAGCTAGGAAACTCTGATGTAATTATCAGGTTTCTGATTCATTCATATCTGTTGCAACAAAAGGCTATGTGGTAAATTGGGTCCTTCACGGGTTCTAATGGGAGTCACGGTAGCGAGTAAGGCAATCAGCAATGAGCCAGAATAAAAACAGCTTGAAATGTTTTTAACTAAACAGGCGTTGCTAAAAAAATATGTAACTTTCAAAGTACACTCTTTTTTTCTATAAAAGATTTCTTCTAAGAACATTGAGGCTGAACATACTAAGAACATGCCCTAGACTGAAAGTCACTAGAAGAAGTTTATTTCGACAATTTTTTTAAAGAACAGTATATGACCCTGGCAAAATGTAGAACTTGAGTGTAGTGCAGTCCAGGAACCAAATGCTTTTAGAGATATATTTGAACATAAATGATGTCTTATTGCGTGGTTCATCGTAGAACATCTCCAGTTGTATGGCTGTCTGATCGTGTTCTCTGCAGGACTATTGGAATTTACAATAAAACAACCTAAAACCTCCCTAGAAATAATAACTTATCTTACGAAAATCATCAGGTTCAAATCTAGGAACTTCCAGCCTCTGTCCAAATGTCAGACGTTTTCAGTTATAAGAGTGTATGTTTCACTCTCTATAACGCAATGTAGCCCGATCTATAGGAATTAACAAAGTATCGAGATTTTATCCTAGAAATAAACTGCAGTGGCGGATATAAGGGAAAACGCCACCCCCCCCCCCCCTTATTTTGGGTAAAAGAAAAGGCAGAAGGAAGAAAAGTCGGCAGGGCAAGCAAAGAAACCTCCCACTCCCACCCTTCCCTTTAGCTCAAGGTCTGGATCCGCCACTGATAAAGTGTAACAGAGAGAGTAAATGATAGCTTAAATTCGTTCTTGTGAGGTCTGTTCAGCTTATAAAGTGCTTTCACTCACGTGGCAAGCAGTCATGAAAATATTTGAAACGTTAAACATATTATTACATTAATTGTAATTGACCTGAACTGTAATCAGGCCGAGTCATACTGTGACAGAATTTATACTGCATGTAATAAGAATCAAATGTCCTAGAGATTATGCAAGAATTGATTATTTCTGCAACAAGACAGTTCACACTGACAAGTACAAGTATTGTATGCTGGTTCGTATTTTTTGCTGAGTGAGATATAATTGACTTGAGTGCGTAATAGCAAAGTAGATAGAGCTGTTAAATGATATTCTCCTGGTTAATTAAAGGTTTTACTATAGACACTGTACATTAATTAGCAATTGCTTGAAAATTATTTCTAAATTACACTGGGGGACGAGGCACACATTACATGAGACCTCGTCAGTCATAAATAATGTATTTGAGGTTCGATAATCCTTAATAAATAAAATGGTTCTTGCTTTAATTTTGTGTTTAAAAAATGTTGTATGTGTGTTTAAAGGTGATAGAAGAAAATGGGACAAGGGGCAAGCGTTTTTTATGAAAAAGTTCAACGACCATACAAAATGTTTTGTCCAGCGGTCACACACTTGAATTGTGTAAAATTTACCAGGCTTACAATATAGAAATAAAAAACGCGCCCGAGTGCATTGTTGAGTTATATAAGCACGCGGGAATTTTTAAGAA